CGCTTAACCGACTGAGCCACCCAGGCACCCCCAGTAGCTCATTCTTAAAGGAAATATACACATGGTAGCCCTTCACAGAAGTACTTTAGCATAATCGACTTTCATTTTCTGAGAAAGTGGCCCTTATTAAAGCAGATAGGATTAAGACCTTAATTAAGAACACTTTTTAGCCATTGGTCTAGTCTGTCATGATACACGAAATTATTAAAATGGATTTCTTTTTTAAGCATTATTCGAACTTTTACTCCCCTAAAGTATTCCCCTAATGAATGAGGTTTATAAGCTACCTATAGAAATGAAGTGTTTGTTTTTGCCATTTCACTCCACTGTGTGAGGCCCTGAGATTCCTTCGAATTATTGACCAAATGAGTGTGATGAGCTTTACCGTTTCCTTTCGTTCTTGTTTGTTTTTCACTGTGGCAGTAACCAAATCAGTTCCTAAAGAATTTTTATTTTTTATTTTTTTAATTTTATTTTACTATGTTATGTTAATCACCATACATTACATCATTAGTTTTTGATGTAGTGTTCCATGATTCATTGTTTGCGTGTAACATCCAGTGCTCCATTCAATACGTGCCCTCTTTTGGTTTTTAACATTTTTAAAAATTTTTTTATGTTAATCACCATACATTACATCATTAGTTTTTGATGTAGTGTTCCATGATTTATCATTTGCGTATAACACCCAGTTCTCCAATTACGTGCCCTCTTTAATACCCATCACCGGGCAAACCCATCCCCCCAGCCCCCTCCCCTCTAGAACCCTCAGTTTGTTTCTCAGAGTCCATAATCTCTCATGGTTCCTCTCCCCCTCCGATTTCCCCCCCTTCATTTTTCCCTTCCTACTTTTTTTTTTTTTCTTTTTTAACATATAATGTATTATTTGTTTCAAAGGTACAGGTCTGTGATTCATCAGTCTTACACAATTCACAGCACTCACCAGAGCATATACCTTCCCCAATGTCTATCACCCAGGCACCCCATCCCTCCCACCCCCCACCACTCTAGCAACCCTCAGTTTGTTTCCTGAGATTAAGAATTCCTCATATCAGTGAGATCATATGATAACTGTCTTTCTCTGATTGACTTATTTTGCTTAGCATAATACCCTCTCGTTCCATCCACGTCATGGCAAATGGTAAGATTTCATTCCTTTTGATGGCTGCATAATATTCCTGTGTGTGTGTGTGTGTGTGTGTGTGTGTGTGTGTGTGTGTGTGTGTATCACATCTTCTTTATCCATTCATCTCTTGATGGACATCTTGCTCTTTCCCATAGTTTGGCTATTGTGGACATTGCTGCTATAAACGTTGGGGTGCATGTGCCCCTTCCAATCACTACATTTGTATCTTTGGGGTAAATACCCACTAGTGTAATTGCTGGGTCGTAGGGTAGCTCTATTTTCAACTTTGTGAGGAACCTCCATACTGTTTTCCAGAGCAGCTGCTCCAGCTTGCATTACCACCAACAGTGTAGGAGGTAGGAGGGTTCCTCTTTCTCCGCATCCTCGCCAACATCTGTCATTTCCTGACTTGTTAATTTTAGACATTCTGACTGGTGCGAGGTGGTATCTCATTGAAGTTTTGATTTGGATTTCCCTGATGCCGAGCAATGTTGAGCACTTTTTCATGTGTCTGTTGGCCATTTGGATGTCTTCTCTAGAAAAATGTCTGTTCATGTCTTCTGCCCATTTCTTGATTGGGTTATTTGTTCTTTGGGTGTTGAGTTTGATAAATTCTTTATAGATTTTGGATACTAGCCCTTTATCTGATAAAAGAGGCCTTTTCTCTCATTTTTTTATTGCTCCTCTGTTGAACTCAAACATTTTCTGTCCTAATGTAGAGCACTGGCAAATTCTCATATGCATAATAGAAAAAGAAATTTCTTATACTCATGTTTGCTATTTTGCTTTCAAGCATGACAGATTTACTTTCTTCCCTCTGAATTTTTTCTCTCACCCTTCAGACTGCATTTACCTGTTGAGCCACTAACATATTGTATCCTTCGAATTGTATCTTTTTTTTTTTTGGTTAGTGTTTCCTGTCACTGAATGTTATGTTCTATATTGTGTCAGATATGACAATTCACTATAAAGCAAGCTGTTTCTGTATCACTATTCTCTGTAAGATTTAAAATCCATACATCATAGAATAAACAATTTAGAAGTTGAATTATGTCTGAAATAATAAGAAAATTTTACATTTGTATTTGTCCCTGTCTATAATAAAGATATATTATTAATAGTCTAAAAAGTAAATTTGCTTATATGCCCATCTCTATTTATTTGAAAGACTAGTTTGAGCATTATATATTTATGCAGCTGTGGGTCTCACTCTTTCTCAAGTAATAGTATGTGCTGAATCTGTCTTTCTATAGAAAACTCAGGAAAATAGAACCAGCTCCTTAGGCAGTGAAGAGCATAGTATTTGCAGTTTGTATTTGTCAATTAATATATACTGATTGGAATTAAAATTCTTTTAGGTAACTCTTAAAAATGATAATATATTTTGAGGTTTATTTATCCATGAACATCAGTGATCCTCCTTTATCCAGCTATATGATGCTTGTTTATTCTCACCTCTGCTACAGGTGAGAAATGAAACTCAAGTCAATCCACTTTTCTTTTTGTTAATAATGCTGTAAAAATAATACATGGCCTCAAATTTTTCCTTGTTCACCCCTTACCTTCATTCTCTTACATATTTTTGAGGACCTTTTGTGGGAGATTATGCAGTTATATTTTTATTAGAAATTAAAACAGAAAGATGTAAAACACTAAAATATACAAGTACACATTCCATAGCCTCCAGAGTAATGACATTATCACATGTCACACAGCCTCTGGAAAATTCCACTATATACTCATGAGAAGATGAGAGGGAAAAGGCAAATAACCTCCTAGTTTTATTATGAAATAGTTTTTACCTCTCAGAAGGTCTTGGAGTCCCTCTAGGGAATCTTCAGACCATACTGTGAGAACTGCTGTCCAAATCGTTGAAATATGATCAAATCTATATTCAGCTTTGTAAAACTCCTCCTAATAATGTAGTTTACAAAATCTACCACAGGAAAGAGCGTTTGTGTTTACACCAACAGGCTAACTTTCTGTCTTATCTTCCAGTTATGGAAATTCTTGAAGCCCAATACTCCATTGGAATCTCGGATTTCTAAGCAGTGGTGTGAAATTGGTTTCCAAGGTGATGATCCTAAAACAGATTTTCGAGGAATGGGACTTCTGGGCCTATACAATTTGCAGTAAGTAAAATGGAGAAGGGTCGAGTATTAAAAAGTGATGTCCTAGTCACATGGAAATGACCGTTACTAGTTCCAAAAGCCACTTGGCAGAAAGCTCCAAGAAAACAGTGAAGTCCTCTGAAAGTCCTCTGAGAGATAACTCAGGTTCCTAAATTTTAAAAAGGTACTACCTCTCCCTTTTCTTTGGCAAACTTTATTGTTTTATAAGCAGATCTCAAATGTTTTAATTTTTAATTTTGTATTATGAAAAAATTTAAGTAGATACAAAAACAAATAGAAGACTGTAAAGAACCCCCTTATACTGTCCAAGTTCAATAATTATCAAGATTTTGAAACATCTGCAACGCTTATTTTTTTTGGCAGAAGTGTGTTAATGAAGTCCTTTACTGTTTGTCATTTCGTCCTCACATTTCAATATGTAGCTCTAAAAAAATCAATACTACCTTGTATTAACCACAGTGCCACTATCACATCTAACAAAATTACAGTGATTCCTTGGTGTCATCTGTATCCAGTCCATATTAAAATTTCCCAGCTCTCTCAAAAATGTCTTCTTATGGCTGGTTTCTTCCAACCCAGTTCCATTCAAATATTTCCATATTGCACTTAGTTATTATGTCTCTCCCTGTCTGCCTTCTCCTTTTGCCCCCTCCCCAATGTCATAAACTTGTGCAAGACCCCAGGTCAGCTATCCTCTAAAATGTCCCATGCTCTGGATTTTCTGAAAATTGGAGGTATTCAGAAAGGCATGAGTAGGTTCAGGTTGACACTGAGGGTGGCCTGCCGTGTCCCCTTCTCAGTCCTGTGCTGAGAGGGATGGGAGGCATCACAGCCTGATGGCTCCATTGCAAAGTCCCCCATCAGCCTTTTATCTAACCATTTCATCCTTCAGTGATCTTTGCTGGACCAGTTAATTAATTGCACAAAAAGTGCTTTTCCAATTCTGTGATTCTTCCCACAATTGTTGGCTGGAATTCTGTAAAGACTTGGTTTCCTTCATCAACTATGGTTATTTACTTTCTCTAACATACAGGCAGGACAGATGCTCGATTTTTCCATGTAGTTGCCAATTATCAAAGTGAGGAGTTAGTGCCCTAAGGTCCCTCGTTAGTGACCAAAAAAAATTTTTTTTTACTTTATTTTTTAAATACCATTTTTTTAAACAATTAGGCCCTTACCTCTTTATTTTATTTATTTGTCTGACAGAGAGAGAGAGAGCACACAAGCAGGGGGAGGGGCAAAGGGAGAGGGAGAAGCAGGCTCCCCAGCTGAGCAGGGAGCCCGATGCGGGACTCGATCCCAGGACCCTGGGATCATGACCTGAGCCAAAGGCAGACGCTTAACCAACTGAGCCACCCAGGCGCCCCTTAAATACCATTTTTAATTCATGGTTCTTATATGTTCATCATGATTCAAATAACTGTGCGCTCATTCTTTCTTTCATGTTTAAATTAATTCATATGGAGTCACTATTTTTCAAGCCAAAGGGAGTCCTTTTCAGTGGTTCTCTGCGATTTGACACCATCCTATTAGTTACGATAGCTATGTATTTTTTTTTTTAAAGATTTTATTTATTTTTATTTGACACAGAGAGATAGTGAGAGAGAGAGCACAAGCAGGGGGAGCGGCAGGCAGAGGCAGAGGGAGAAGCAGGCTGCCTGCTGAGCAAGGAGCCCAATGCGGGGCTTGATCCCAGGACCCTGGGATCATGACCTGAGCCGAAGGCAGCCGCTTAACTGACTGAGCCACCCAGGCGCCCCAGGATAGCTATGTATTTTAAAAAGAAACGAAGCCTGGGATGCCTGGGCAGCTGAGTCAGTTACATGTCTGCCTTCAGCTCAGGTCATGATCAGGGTCCTGGGATCGAGCCCCGCATAGGGCTCCTTGCTCAGCAGGGAGCCAGCTTCTCCCTTGGCCTGCTGCTCCCCCTGCTTGTGCGCTCTTTCTCTCTCTCTCTCTGACAAATAAATAAATAAAATCTTTAAAAAAATAAAAATAAAAGAAACTAAGCCTTAGTCATTTTGGATGCACCCCATTTTTCCTCTAGATGTTTGCCTTTATTTTAAATTTGGGACACTTAATAATCACCTATTCTTTTATGAAATGTTGTAAATACCACATTACATAACATGAATGAATAAAAAGTAAATTTTGAGGACAAAGATACTGTGACAAATAAGTGGATAAAGGATGAGCTTTTGAATAAGTAGAGCTGAGAGAAAAAAAAATCTCTACCTCTGTCTCAATCTCAGTTTCACAAATGGAATGTCAAAAACAAGTCCTTACAACTTTTGGGAGAAAATCTTTTCAGATATATAGGGAGGGATCCCTTAAAGACACAAAGAAAAAAAAGCACAAGTTATAAAACAAAAATCAATACATTTCACACATTAAAAATTTCTGTAAGATAAGCCATCATAAATAAAGTGAAAAGACAAGCCAAGTCTGACACTCACATAAATGATAAAGGACCCCCATCCAGTATATTATTCTCTATAGGGTTATTTGTCTTATTTGTTTGAAGACATTTTTAGATATGCTAGACCAAAAAATATGAACAGATAAGACACAAAAGACATCCAGGTTTTCTAGATGGCCAACAAAAGTATGAAAAGAGACTCAGTTTCATTAATAATCATGGACATGTATATTAAAACTGTTGACTGTGGTTTGAAATTTTCTGAGAAAATTCAAGAGCTTGTTTCATGCTTCAGATTTATGTGGGAAATATATACACGTCAAATTAAATAACATATGCTAATGTTTTATTTTGTTACTGTCTTTATGAAATACTTTTTGTGATGTATTTTATAAGGTATGTAACTGTATTTTTTAAGAAATTTCATTGCCCTTTTTCCCCAGGGTAGAATTTTGCTTTTAGCACCGTATTTTCCATTCATCCAGAATTCAAATACCCATGAATACTCTCCAAGAAAAATGCACTTGAAGTGCATCATCTCTCACCTCCTCTACTCTCTTCCTCTCTCTGTCCCTTGACTGTCACAGCCCCTCGGTATGTCCCTTCATCCAGGCTGCTTCTGCCTTCTGAGGGGCCTCATCCTGCCCCCTCATCTATAACCCTTCTAACTACAAATATCCTTAGCTCCCTGGGGAATGGCAAAGTTCATAATTAAAATTTCAAACCTGTGGCACCTGGGTGGCTCAGTTGGTTAAGCATCTGCCTTCAGCTCAGGTCATGATCCTGGGGTCCTGGGATCGAGTCCCACATCGGGCTCCCTGCTCAGCGGGGAGTCTCCCTCTCCCTCTGCCGCTCCCCTCCCCCGCCGCTTGTGCTCGCTCGCTCTTTCTCTCTCTGTCAAATAAATAAATATCTTTAAAATAAAAAGATAAAATTTCAAACCCACTCGATACATTCCTAAATCTGTGTGGGTTTTACAACTTCCCTATTATACTGTCATTATATTTGGAAAATCCTATTATGAAAAGCCGTCTGTTCTCTGGAAGAGCTGAAACAAGTGGGAGTCTTCTGCTGGTGTCTACCTCTGAATGCAAAATGGCCTGAAACTGGATTAAAATGAATGCATCCAACAGGTATGGAGCTGTGGTTTTCTTTTCCCCCAACTGCAGGTATTTTGCAGAAAGGGATGCTGTAGCAGCTCAGCAGGTCCTCTCTGACTCTCTTCATCCAAAATGCAGGTAATTACTAAAAATAAAAGATGGATTAGGCTTATGGCTTAGGTCAGAGGAACTTCTCCTCCACAGATATGTGAGTGAGATTCTCAGGAGCATCAACCCACCAGAAGTGAGGCTTAAAGCTCTTTCAAATGAGCACTTTGGACAAATACTGAATAAGAGGGTTAAAACTTCCAGGTACTTATGACAGGATTCAGGATGTAAAGTGGCACCGTTCAAGTGAGATGAGTATTTAAAGGGACTGATAACATCGCTGGTGTCCAGAGGATTAAGGAGGTGGGCATAGAAGGAGAAAGGCAGAGCCTGAAAGAAAGATTTCAGAGACAGAAGAGCACGATGGGGGGACAGAGGGGAGAACGGGAGCTATGAAGTCAGGGGCCAACTGAGAAAATCCAGAATGCTGAGGCTTTTTTATTTTCCTTGATAAAAATCTAGATTCTAAATATTTTGCATTTTCATTTAACTTCCTAAATTTTTTTTTCTTTAACTGATTACATGAAGGGATATCACTAAAGAGGAAATAAGGTATTTCTTATTTGCTTTTGTGTTTTGTTGCTTTTATTTCATTTTAGAATCAGTATGGGTAAGAATTTTTACAGAAATATAAATTCTTGAAAATTTTTCAAAAAACATTTCCCAACTTTCTATCTATTATACTTCATTATATTTAGGTTGTGTTTTAGTGAAGGAAAACCAGATTAGACCAACCTAACAGAAAATATCAAAGAGCTTTTCTACAGTCACGGCTGTACCTGATCAGAGAACTATGTTGAGCACTTCACCTAATGGCTGAACACGTCACCACACATGCTCTGACCTCATCTACTCCCCAGAGAGGAACATTTCATTTGGAAGTTTTGTTGCATAGAGCAATTTTTCTCTTCTACTATATATTTCTAATTTCATTATTAAAAATAGTAGTTATTGTATATAAGGAGTTCTGCCATTTTGCAGTCATGCTTTTGTATCACTTTTTTCTCCTCAGCATGCCAAGTTCCTTGTTAGTGTTCATATTTAATAAATCAACCCCAAATTTTATCATACCATTCTCAAAATTCAGAAACAGGTTAACTTTGCTCCCGCCACCTTACTATTATTCAAGCTTCATTTGGCTAAGGTTCATTAAATTACACTATACTTTCTAAATTTGTATTTATAATCTTTTATTTATAAGATATTTTTATTTTTTTACCTTTTTATTTGAGAAAAACAGTAAAATCATTTAGCTCTTTCTTGAGATAGATATATATATATAAAAAACCTGGTTAAAATCAAGCTATTTTAATTTAATTTTTAACTGCATTTTCTGAATTGCATATTTCTGTAATGTAGAGACTCTGAACTTCCTCCAATTAAAATTGTCTGGGGAGTCCGTGTCTATACTCAGGTATTCCTGGAAGAACATCAGAAAAACACATGAATCCTCCATGGTCATTGGGAAGTGAATATTTTTTTGATTAATCATTATAGGATGATAAATTTTAGCTGTGAGCCATTCTCAAAGCTAGGCTTTGTAGTTTTATTTCTTGTGTCAACCATCAGAGAGGATATATTTGATAGTTTATGTGTGAATACTCTTATTTAAGAAGAGACTACCGTGTATGTGTGTGGGCGGGGGGGCTTATAGATAAAGCCACCATGCTGTGTTCCTCAAGCCACCATAAAATGGAGTAGTATTTGAACTTCAAATATTTATCACTTCATATTGATGGTAAATGTTAGTAAACACAAATCAGAATGTTTTGAAAATGCTACTATCCTTCACCAGTGCCTAAAATAAGTACATATTGACGCTAGCAGCATAGGTTGTCAGGCCCCGAATACTTCAGGTGTTGAGCAGCAGTGTATGCTAAGGAAACTCTCTCCTGTCTATGCAACAGCAAGCATTATACATTGCTGTATTGCTCTTGTAAACCTCCATCTGTTACGTCCTAGAGTAGCCTGAGGGACCTAAGTACATTCAAGTCTAAGAGAATTTTGCAACAAGTTTGTTGTTGTTACTGTTGTGTGTTTCTTGAAGAAAGGGATTCATTCTATTTGGTCCAGGATATCCTGTAAGTGATTAAATGAGTGGAGGTCATTTGGCCTTTTCTTTTATTTCCAATGCAGAAAAAGACTTCACTTAAATACTGAGACACTATGTATTTTTAAAGCTTTGTTAAGAGAAAATAGATGCTTATAAATCTGTTTATTTAAAGTTTCTTAAATTTCATCCCTAACTCAGTTTAGTTCAGATATGAGTCTTCTAAGTAAAAATCTAATGCCTTTTTGGCTGGTTGGTTGGCTGGTTTGTAGGCAGTTACACCTTAAAAAGAGGTGGCATATTTTAACATGAATGAAAGGCAGTTACTTTGAATTACAACTAGTCATTTACAGAGTAGAAAGTACATATAGTTAAATACCAATTTTGTATCATGTTTTTGTGGTCGTGTGCTGTGTGTATCACATGGGTGTCTTTTAATGTAGTGTGTGCAACGTATTATAGAGAACCTAGTTAGATGGAAGCTAAATGTTCATAACAGTAGTTTTAAAATGTTATTTAGTTCAAATGCTAACCACATTTTTTAGTGTAAAATGAGGATTACATTAGCCACAGAGAGGAGTGGAACATGGTTTCTGTTTACAAAACATTGACAGTATGGAGCGGGGGGAGAATGGGAAGGACTTGCAAGTCCACAAAGTAAAAGAATGCAAGGCAGTATTTTCAGAATACTTCTATGATAGACCCCTTTCTACAAAGTCTTATTCAGAAGCTCAAATTATAAAATGGATCAAAATGGAACTGCTGTGGTTTAGCTGTCTTAGCTTAGACAGAGGAAATGCCATAGGACTTGTGAAAACAGAGTTTTTAAAACCTATATATCCTTCCTTCCTCCCTCCCTGCCTTCATTCCTTTCACTAGTTCACTACTTTATTCAATTTGGCACCTACGGTGAGCCAGACATCACAAATAAGAATGAATAGGATAAATGCCAGGAAATAAAACCAAAGGAGATGCAGTGGGGAATTATGAGAGAGCAAGGGAGCATCTGGTTAGAAGAGACATACCCCATGGAGAAAGTATTGTTTGATAATCAATGATTTCATAAAAAAGTACTTTAGTGTTTCACCTTAAGGACTGTCTCTCACTGCTGCACTAAAGGGAATAAGGGATAAGTAGCAGGGCTTTAAATAATCCCATTTCTGAGCTCCACATAAATTTTACTATGGATTTTTAATTGATAAAATTTAAATTGATTAGTGTTTGAGAACTGAGTTACAGACATCTCTGCATCTAGTCAATAGTTTTAATATAAACATTAAAAGAGAAAAGTACCAATTAGAGATTAAATCTTATTTCTTTATTCATTCATTCATTCAGCAAATTCAGCAAAGCAGAATGGGAGAAGAAAAGGATGGATAAAGCAATTGGGTGAGTGTGGGATTTCATATATAAAGGCTGTCAATCAGAACCAGAACCAGGAAAAAAAAAAAATGTCCTAAGAACACTGTAAAAGATGACAAAGATGAAAAATGTCCTAATGGAAATATATAATCCAGTTGAACTTTTTTTTTTTTTAAGATTTTATTTATTCATTTGAGAGACAATGAGATAGAAAGAGAGCATGAGAGGGGGGAAGGTCAGAGGGAGAAGCAGACTCCCTGCCGAGCAGGGAGCCGGATGCGGGACTCGATCCCGGGACTCGAGGATCATGACCTGAGCTGAAGGCAGTCGCTTAACCAACTGAGCCACCCAGGCGCCCAATCCAGTTGAACTTTTAAAAGAACCATAAGTTTTTGGATTTATTTGGGTGATTCTATGGTACTACTTTGCCTTTGACCAACTGACAATCTTTACAAAGTTATAACTATATGAAAATGATTTTCAGAAATCATCATTTAGAATTATATTTGGTAGGGTAGGGTGGCTTAGTTGGTTAGGCATCCGACTCTTGATCTCAGCTCTGGTCTCGATCTCAGGGTTATGAGTTCAGGCCCTGCATTGTGCTCCATGCTGGGTGTGGAGCCTACTTAAAAAAAAAAATAAGTGTAGGGGCGCCTGGGTGGCTGAGCCGTTAAGTGTCTGCCTTCCGCTCAGGTCATGATCCCAGGGTCCTGGGATCGAGTCCCGCATCAGGCTCCCTGCTCCATGGGAAGCCGGCTTCTCCTTCTCCCACTCTCCCTGCTTGTGTTCCCTCTCTCACTGTGTCTCTCTCTGTCAAATAAATAAATAAAATCTTTAAAAAATAATAATAATATAAATAAATAAATAAATAATAAGCGTATCTGGTAGGGTTTTTTTTAAGAATTTTTATCAAGTATCAGGCTATTAGATTATACATTTACTTTATTAGTTTTTTTTTTAATGCCCCATTTCATTCAAAAATATTTCTGAATGGAGACTCCTTTTTTTTATGTGCTGGATTTATATTACCCACAGACTTAAGACCTCAATTCCATTTAATTTTTGTTTTTTTGTTTTTTGTTTTTTAAATATTTGTATTTATTTATTTGACAGAGAGAGAGAGAAATAGCAAGAGCAGGAGCACAAGCAGGGGGAGTGGGGGAGGGAGAAGCAGGCTTCCCTCCGAACAGGGAGCCCGACGCGGGGCTCGATCCCAGGACCCTGGGATCATGACCTGAGCCGAAGGCAGACGCTTAACAACTGAGCCACCCAGGCGCCCCTCCATTTAATTTTTGGTAGCCATGTAGAAAAGGAACTAGGAAATATACCCTGAGTGTCAAGGTACTTAAATTTTGCCTCATTTTAAAAGTAATATATGACTTATTATGGAAAATATAGAAAATACAGGAAAGGAAACAAAAAAAAATCACCCCTATATTATTCCTCTAACATAGCATAGTAATATTTGGTGGCACTTCATTCTTGCCCTCTTTTTGCGCACATGTGTGAGCATGTAATAAAACGTAGCTTGTTTCATACATAATGTTTCCAACTTAAATAGTCTTTAGGAATACAGTATTTGTTGGCTGTAATATGAGATTGCCATAATTTATTTCACCAGTCATCTTTTTTTAGAATATCTGAATAGTTCCCATGTCTTTGCCATTATAAATAATGCTATAATGAGTATCCTTGAATATAAAGCTCTTTGTTTCTGATTTTTTTTTCTCTCATATATTTGGAAATAGAATTACCAAATCAAAGCATATGGACTCTTAATTCCCTTGGTTACATTACTGGCATTTTCTAGTAAGTTACAACATTCAGGGTAAAGATTGGGTAGAAAGGGAATGGCAGCCTGCCACTCTGATAATTTAGCAGCAATTTAAAAATCAGATTATTTTTAAATGCTTATGTGACATGCAGTTGGTTTTGTGGTTTGCACTTTGCAGGTACTCATTTGCAATTGTGGGCATCAATATAACTGATCTGGCATATAATCTACTGGTGAGCGGAGCTCTAAAAACTCACTTCTACAACATCGCCCCAGAAGCTCCAACACTGTCTCATTTCCAGCAAACATTCTGTAAGTGTCCTGTTGCTGAATTATCAATACAGTTACTATGGAACATTCTATGCAAGGGGCAAAGCTGAGAGATCTTTGCAATTTGGCTGCTTTGGGATCTTTGAACTTCCCCTTTGGTTTTGATTTTGTTGTTGTTTTCTCATTCAGAAACCTCGAGTAATATTTTCAGGCATTGTGGATTTTTCTCTTTCCCAGCTCTTGCATAATATCCACTCTATCAACTTCTGGTCTGGGTATCTCTCTCCCTCTGATGCAGCATGGCATAGCACTTGAGAGTGCAGGTTCGGAAGACAGCCCGAGTTGATTCCCAGATCTATGTTTACCAACCTCTCTAAGCCTTGGTTATGTCAGGTATAAGATGAGTCCTTTCCTCATAGAGTTGCTATGAAGATAAAGTGAGATCATGGGTAAAAAGTTCTAACTAGCTCGCTCCCTAGTTAGTGCTCAGTGAACATTAGAAAGAGGAGATGTTGGTGTAGCGGGTGGTGCTGACGGTGGTGGAGCTCAATGGCATTATCTCCCTGCCAGCACTAGGACTGCTACAGAAGGAAGTACTAATGAGGGGCATCCGTGGGGTTTGCAGTTACACTGAGGCTTCAGAAGATAAAAACCGAGACTATATGACAGAGTCCTGGGACAGTGTTTTCTGTTCTTAGAGACAGAATCCTAAAATCTGAATGTCATTGTGACCCTTGTGGGCCAGACACAAACTGGTTTGGAGGACCGTGGAAAGATGTTCCAAGTCACTAAGCAATCCAGGCAATTTAAAGGAGAAATGTCATTTAAACCATTTAAACCATGCTTACTGCTCTGAGGGCCTTGTACCCAGGCTTTCTTAGAAATTTTCTGAGAAAATTTCCAAGTTTCTCTTCTCTTTTAAACTTTTTCAGCTCTTCTCTTCTGTTAATTTGCTGAGCAGGTCTGCCACTCTAACTATGGTTAAGACACAGCTGTTCATGGGGCGCCTGGGTGGCTCAGTCGTTAAGCGTCTGCCTTCGGCTCAGGTCATGATCCCAGGGTCCTGGGATCGAGCCCCGCATCGGGCTCCCCGCTCGGTGGGAAGCCTGCTTCTCCCTCTCCCACTCCCCCTGCTTGTGTTCCCTCTCTCTCTGTCTGTCAAATAAATAAATAAAATCTTTAAAAAAAAAAAAAAAGACACAGCTGTTCATCCCAAATCCACTCTGGGGAATACTGTTCCCCACTTCATTTTTACAATGTGACAGAGTTAACAGCAATTTCTTTTATCTAAACTCCTAAATTAATAGTGATTATGTTATCTAGGATTTTGTCTTTTTTAGTGTCTGCTTAATCAGGACTTCTGGTTAGAGATGGCATAATTAACGCATGCATTATGCTCCTTTTGAAACTTCACTAAAGTTAACGTAACAAGATTTTTCCAAGAAAGCATAAACCCACAAGGACAGGAAAAATCAGGAACAAGGCAGGAAAAACCTCATTTTGGAAGCTGAAAAACAGGTGATGTGATAACTGATTTAGTAGTCCTAAGGAAGCAAATCCCAAATAGGTAGTGTGGAAAAGTAAGAAGCAACCTGATTTATTCCATGGGACCTCCCAGAAGGTTCAGGAATTGGCAGCATTAGGTGTCTCTGGAAATAGGGGTGAAGGCAGGATCAAAAACAGCAAGACTGCTTGCAAATATGTTAAGAAACTCTTAGAGGCCCAAATCCCCTTCCCTAGGACACAGCTTCTGTCCTTCCCTGCCCCCCAGGAGAGGCTGGTGGATTATTCTCTAGAGAGTTAAAAATAAAGTGTCTCTGGTCTGATGAGAATCAGGTACAGCTGCTGGCAAACCACATTGAAAGTGATGATGGGCACTGAGTCATGCAGGCGGCTTCTCCTTCCCCATTCCTCTAACTTTGGCAGCCAGTCAGGAGGCTGACAGGGCCTTCTCTGGGTTATTGGAGCAGCCCGACAGAAAACAGCTGAAGATGCTGACCTCTGGGTTTCCCCAGTGAAACAACCCAGCCATAGCACTCTACAGTCATGCTCACTCTCAAAAAGCCCTACTTACATGCCCAGAGCTTCCAATAAGCTTTTAGTCCCTGGCTTTTTATTTAGTAAAAAATATTAAGACAGCCAAGGATTATCAGATGTCTTAGTTAAAAACATGTCCTCAAATTCTTTTGACACTCCTTCCATTAAGAGCTAGGGTTTATTTGTTCCTCTTACCCCTTGAATCTGGGCTGACCAGTTGGCTGGCCAGTAGAATATAGCAGAATTGACACTATGTGCCTTCCAAAACTATGCTAGAAGAGGTTTTTGCCTGGTTCTCAGGGACCGAGCTGCTTTTGAAGGCATGAGCCCCATGTAACGGATCTGATCTCTACATGCTGTGAGGAAGTCTAGGACATATGGCATAGCCATATGTAGGTGATTTCACTGACAGTTCCAGATGAGGTCCCAGCTGATAGCTAGTGTCCCCACAAACATGTGAGTGAAGATACCTCCAAGTGATTCGTGCCACCAGCTATCAAGTCACCACACCCTTCAGGTCTTCAGACATTGAGTGGAGACTCCAGTTGAGACTCCAGACATTGTGGAATGATCCCTCCTATGCCCTTTCTGAATTCCTAACCCACTGAATTCATGAGTGTATTAAAATGGTTGTTTTAAGCCACTGGATTTTGGAATAATTTCATAAACAGTACTAGATAACAAGAACAGTAATGAAAGCCTCAAGCATGAAACAGAGTCCAAACAAGCAGAAATAAAGCCACTAGAAGGAAATAGAAACTATGCAGGGAGAGAAAAACTTCAAAACTATGTATCATTAGTATCCCCAAGGAATTAAGAAAAGAAATTGTAATTATGAAACAAGAACAAGGTGCTACAGAAAGAACATTCAGAAGACAAAAGAGTGCTCTTAGAAATTAAAAATCAAATAGCAAAAATTAAACACCAAAAAGGATTAGAAGATAAAGCTGAAAATACTCCCATAAAGTAGAACAAAAAGTATAGATGAAAAATAGAAAATAAAGGTCAAGATATTAAAGGACCATTTTAGAAGTCATATATAAAAATGGGATTTCCAGAAAAAGAACAATGACACTAAAGGGAGGGACTCAAAGACGTAAATCAAGAAAAATTTCCAGAACTAAAGGATGAGTTTTCATATTTAAACTAGTAAGCACCAGCATAATAGATTAAAATAGATTCATACCCAAGGTCCGTATCACTATGACATTTTATGACATCAGAAAGAGATGATTCTAAAAGTTTCCAAAGCTGCCACATGAAGAATTGGGAATCAAGAGGACACTGGAATTCTCAACAGCAACATTGTATTCTAGAAGACAGTGGAATAATGTATTCAAAAATTTAAGAGAATATTTTTTAAAATCTAAGGGCATATGATTTCAATTTAGATTTCTATACCCAGGCTAACTTCCCAATTAAGTGTGAGAGAACAATAAAGATATTTTTTAAATGCAAGGTCTTAAACATTTTACCTCCTTGTACCATTATTAGGAAGATCCTGAAGGGTATGTTTTCATAAGGAGAGTAATCCTGAAAGGAATAAGTGGGGTCCAGAGAGCAGGAAATCTATCACAGGAACCAAGTGAAGAGAATCTTCAAGGATGAAGGTGAAGGGAAAGCCCAAGGTGCTATCTGTGCAGCAGGATGAGAATAATAAATCTAGATTTTAGCAGGTCGGAAGGCTCTGGTAGAGACTCTTTGAAGAATATGAAATTGATGGAATATCTACTGTTTGAATACACTGCAAAGATGCTGGCGTAGCTTAGAGTCCACTGGGTGAAAACTAAGCAAATAAACAGAGAGGGCAGTTGGTAATACAGCACAAAGAGAATTGTTAGAAAATATGTGATAATATGGTTGGAATGGGTGAAAGGGAGCTAAATCTTCATCTTCTATTATAAAGGAAGTCCAAAAAATCAAGCAATGGCGATCATGTTAATTAGAGCTATGGAGGTCGATAATCAAAAGAATCAGCACAAGAACTGATATGTTCCTTTAAGGAAGCAATAATTAAGGCAGGAGGTGCTGCTGGTTTTGTGTTTTTTTGTAACAAGACTTGTTAAACTATGAGACTCTAAACTATGTGCATGTATAACTTAAGATAAAAATGAAGAGCAAATTTAAGAATACATATACCTTATAACTTGTTAAAAATGGAAAATTAAAGTCCCTTACATATGTGATTATAGCTCCTACTTTGACAACTAGATGATTATATTCACTTTGACCACTTCTGACAGATATTGAAGTTTTACTACAGATCAGGTTCTGTGCATCTAAAAAAATAATTAAAACATAGTGAAAGAATTTTGTAATTGGGAAGTAAATGTACTGTTTTTAAAAACTGAAAAGTCTTATGACTGCCACAACTCACTCAGTCTGGGAGTCGAGGAAAACTTCCCAAAGCAAGTGCCACTTTCCATGAGACCTGAGGGATGAGTGACAGGAAATCAAGAAATGGTGGCTGAGTGGTCCAGCCAAGGGGGTGGCACAGGCAAAGGCCACAAGACAAAGAACATGGTGGACTCAAGAAACAGAGCATAGGGTTTGAGGAGGCAGGTGATAGAGCTGACAATAATAAGAGCAGGGATGGGGGGGTGAGGGGCACTTATCTTGAAGAGCTTTGTAAACCATTTGAAAGAACATCAACAGTACGTGCACCCCGATGTTTATAGCAGCAATGTTCACATTAGCCAAACTGTGGAAAGAGCCAAGATGTCCATCGACAGATGAATGGATTAAGAAGATGTGGTATATATATACAATGGAATATTATGCAGCCATTAAAAGGAATGAAATCTTGCCATTTCCAACGATGTGGATGGAACTGGAGGGTATTATGCTGAGCGAAATAAGTCAATCAGAGAAAGACATGTATCATATGACCTCACTGATATGAGGAATTCTTAATCTCAGTAAACAAACTGAGGGTTGCTGGAGTGGGGGGTGGGGGGTGACTGGGTGATAGACATTGGGGAGGGTATGTGCTATGGTGAGCGCTGTGAATTGTGTAAGACTGTTGAATCACAGACCTGTACCTCTGAAACAAATAATACATTACATGTTAGAAAAAAAAAAAAGAATAAGAAGAAGATAGCAGGAAGGGAAAAATGAAGGGGGGGAAATCGGAGGGAGAGAGGAACCATGAGAGACTATGGACTCTGAGAAACAAACGGAGGGTTCTAGAGGGGAGGTGGGTGAGGGATAGGTTAGCCTGGTGATGGGTATTGAGGAGGGCACATACTGCATGGAGCACCGGGTGTTATACACAAACAATGAATCATGGAACACTACATCAAGAACTAATGATGTAATGTATGGTGATAAACATAACATAATAAAAAAAAAAGAACATCAACAGTAGATAAATAAGTCCCCTTGCTTTGCTTCCCTACCCCTTGTACGTACCCTATTCTATATTTACCATGCTTTTTAGGGAAGCCAGGGAAGCAGTTTTGAGGGAAAACAGAATGAGTTTTAGTTTCAGGCATACTGGGGGTGAGTTCCTTTTGGGAAATCCACATGTAGCTAAATAGTAGACATTCCAATGGAAGGCCCTGGAGCTCTGAGGAATTCCAAGGGCAGATTTGGGATTCATGAGCATTGAGGAGAAAATCAGAGCCACAAGTGTGGGAGCTTTGGCAGGAGAAAATCAAAATTAGAATCATAGGAATTGACATTTAAAGACAGGCATTTTGTTGTTTGTATTCACTACCTCAGCATAGAGCCTGATACAGAGTAAGTACTCACTAAATATTTGTTGGATGATTGGATGGATGGATGGATGGATGGATGGATGGATGGATGGGAAGCTAAAATATTGGATAATGTCTTTTGTGGAAGAAAGGAAGTATAGTTCCTCATGGAGAATTTAGCCTTGCCCCTGAATGGATAGGCTTTCAAGACAACCCTAGCCCAGGTGAGTAGCATGCAATAGGGTTACTTATTTCCCAAGGCCCTCACCAGGTTTTAGAAAGAGCAGCAATCCCCCAATAATTGGGGTATAAGCAGAGGGACTCATGCCTCTCCAGAGGAAGGAAACCATGCCCTGAATTCACTGTTCCTCTATCAGACATGATCAGTTCTGCACGTTTCCTCTGTAATATTCTTGCAATTACCTGTGTCCTTGCTTATGTCTCTGCTGTCTATTAACTGAATGCAGTGAAGCAAAACCAAGATACATTCAAGCAACAACAAATACACTGCAGGCTTGGGATGGAAAGCCAAATTAGTATTCTAAACAGGTATTTCATCTAGGTGAAAAAATATAAGAAACTAATGGCTCTATCATTCTGACTTTATAGTATTACTCAGTGAATACTGCACTGCCAAGGCAGTATGCTACAAAAATTGCATTCCATCTAAAGCCCCACGGAACATACAGTTCCACTGAAATGAAGTAAGGTAAGGTGTAGTGAGCACAAGGTAAGTATAATGATCAGAAGAGGAAAAAGAATGATCTTTCCTCTGACCTTCAGAAGAAGGGACTATTCAGTAAGAATAAGAACCAGGGAAAGAGAATACACTAAGAAAGGCAGCAAGTACCGTGGTGAAAAGTCAGCTGATTTCGAGTTCTCGCTTTCAGCTTCCAGCTATATGGTGTAACTGTACGCTCTTCAAGTATCTTTTCTAAGCCCCATGTTCTCATCTGTTAAATGAAGGTACATCTACACCACCCACTCCACAAAGAATTAAGAGACTATAAGCAATAGCCTGGCCTCTGTTTCCTCCCTCTACTTTCCACGCCATCTTGTTAGCTTCCTTAGCTACTAAATCATTGGCTGAAATTGTCTCCCTGGGTGTCTCTCCCCAAGAGACAAGAGAATTGGGGAGCACAGGAACTCTACCTTTTTCTTGTATCTGCTGCATATTTGTTAACTGGCAGATGAGCCAACTGGTTAATTGACCAAGTGGATAAATGAACACTCTGTAATGTTATAAAAATGAGTGGAGTATTATAATTATAAATGTACCCTGGAAGCCAAGCCACCATTTCTGCATTTTGATTAAAATCATGTTATACAATCTGTATCTTCCTGGTAGGATAGAGAGAATCTGCAAGCTTTACAGCTTCACTTTTGTACCCTTAAGAGGAGGGATCCTGAGAATAGTGTCAGATTGTTAACCACCCCACCCCTAGTCTTATCCTTGCCTTTTTTTTTTTTCTTGCCTACCTTTTAAACCTTTCAAAATGTTTTTCTGTAATTGCATGTAAGGTAGAAAAATGAGGAAACCAAATGGATCTGCATTCTTTTAACACTCTGCACCACACTAGATCACCATTCGAGTGAGTTGCCAGCATACAAGCACACTGTAGAAGAGTATTTTTATACATATGATGCAAAAGTGAATTCTTCATTAAAAGATAATTTTCACAGTACCTGTTCATTATTGTGAATAAGAGTAAAGACCTTATCACTCATGAGATAATAATGAGATTCTTTTAACTCATCATGTATGATTTTAATTCATAGTATTATGAATTAGTATTAGAAGCCTGACTCTACATACAAAACAGCTCAGATGTGTTTATTTGAGCTGAGAGGCCAAGTCAGGAAAATTATGTATTTTATATAGCACAAGAAGAAGAAATTATAAGTAGTCATAGATTAAACTTAAAACCATAAAAATATAATATTTAGGAAAAAGCCAAGGGAACTTAAAAAGAGGGCATCTTTTAGAGCAATGGATCTCAAATTTTAGTGACCTGAGATTCATCTTACTGCACTGCAGCTGAATCTGGGATGGGAGGTCTGCATTTTTAAAAAAGTACCCCATAGCATTCGTGGGATACTTTAGGAGTTTGCCCAGTCACTGAAATGGACAGATGATTGAATTATTTTGGTTGAATAAGGTACTGAGATTAAAGGGAACCACTTCCTCTTGGTGTGCATTAAACCCAGCAGAATAGTAAACAGACTCCAGTCATGGCACGTGAAAAATGGTGAGGAGAAACAGGGATGCTTAACCTGGAAAATGGAGAAGCTCAGGGCATAAGAGACACTTCAATTACCTGAGTTGGAGAAGGACTGAATTTGTTCCAAGAAATACAGGGTAACAGATTTTGGCCCAGTGTGAGGAAAAATCCTTAAGAATCAGGTTCTTCATCCATGGGACAGGTTAATGTCAGTGTTGTCACAAGAAGAGCTCAAGGCTGGAAGCTGCCTCCGGGACTCCCAGCACCAGAAGAGCAGAGATGGACTGGACAGCTCCTGGGATTGCTGATACCTGTGATCTGGGGCTTCCCTGACGTTATCAGGTGCCCATAACAGTGGCAGTGGGCCCTGGAGTGTGGCCCAGAGGCATGTGAGTGAGGGTTGGTGTGTGTCCCCATCAAGAGATATTAAAAACAGTCACATCAGTTAATATGTGTGGAGGGCCCAAAGATAATTCAATCCTAAAAAAATGCAATGGTCAAACCCCCAAAAAAGTAAAATAAGTTTTCTCTCTCCTTACTACCTTTCTTCCTGTAGTTGTAGAGAGACCATATACTTAAAAATGTATAAGCATATTTAACAGTGTAATGAATGAGAAACCCAGGTGTGTTTGTGGAAGTGGACCAGTATCTGGAAGTGTGTTGGGGGTGGGAAGGAAGGTCACTTCTAATTTTGTATTACAGTGAGATATGGTAAAGATTTTAAATATATATGTTTACAGACCTATGTTAAAGGTTTTCTCATAAGTAGCTAGTTACTAGAAAAACAAATGGTATTCTTTTTTTTTTTTTTACTATTAGCATTGAGAATGTTTGTTCTCAAATTCTCTCCCCATGCCCCTTATCATTTCTGCTGCTCACTCCTTCCTGTGGAGGTGGGAGAGCTAGGATTCAAACCAGGTTTCTAGCTTCAGAATCCTTGCTCCTATATTCTGCTCCTTCTAATGCTAAAACCAAGAAAAGCTTCTGTAATGTTCGATTTTTTAAACTAGAATTATTTCCTTAAATGCTTTGCTTCTAATATGTGAGACACTTGAGCTTGTAATAGGTTCACTACATACAAATATCTATTATTGTCTTTTTAAAAAACTATTCACATTTCAATTCTGAATCCTCCCCTTGGGGGAGGGTGCACAGTGGGGAGACAGAACACAGTGAATAGATTCAAATACTTAACATTTATTCCAAAAATGTTTCCAATCCAGATCATTCATAGGTAACACTTTTGAGACAGAGAAGTATTTGAATACAACATTATACTTCAGAGCAAGAAGGTCTTATTAACGATTTCATGTAGTTTAATGACCAGTCTGTGTTTTTCAGAGTTGATTTACAATTTTTATTGTCTCACAATAGACTGTCAGAAGCCATTTGTTTGATTTGTCAGAGTAATTTAAAACTTTACTCAAATCAAATATCAAGAGAAAAAAAGCTGAGTGGAGTAATTTTGAAAAATCAGACCATTATTTTAATTTAATCAGGAGGGGAAGGATGAAGTAGTCACTGTCGGTCTTTCGGATTATGTTCTAGATGTGATTCATATTCAAGAGATGGCAGAACTGATTTGTCTTCCTCCTTGGGAAGAGTAAGAATAATTCCAGGACCAATTGCAAAAGTCTTGCAGATTGGTAGCTTCTACTGCACTAGTTTTAAAGAATAATCTTTAACAGTAATATTTGCTGCATTTTGTTCTCTTTGAGCTCCGTGGCTGCTGTCATTTGGTCTGACATCTCTTTCAGCATTCAGTGATTTTGAATGTAATTAAGGACTTTTTTTTCTCCTGCATTCTTATCACTGTCTTATTTCTAACAGGCTATTTGATGCATGAGTTTCATAAGTTTTGGATTGAAGAGGACCCCATGGACATAATGGAATTCAATCGTGTGCGGGAGAAATTCCGCAAGAGGATCATAAGACAGCTGCAGAACCCAGACATGGCGTTGTGCCCACACTTTGCTGCCTCAGAAGGTTTAATCAACATGTAGTCACCCGCGCTGGTTTTAACGGATACCCTAGAACACTGCCTCATTGTCGTGTTAGATCCTGCTTAGGTCCCAGCTCACACACACTGAATGCACAGTGATTGTATGCATGCCTTCTGGTACAGTATTTTCACCTCTTGGTCATAATTACCAGATCCCCAGATACCACTGTTTCTGGAGTATCTGTCATCCAGTGACCGTTCATATTGTGGCATTATGCAATGTTACATTTGCCTTGACACCCAGGTATGGAGAGAGTTTTCTATTTTTTTAGATTGTTCTCCTCCCCCTCATAATTCAGCACTGAAGAACTGTATTTCTCTAGCTGTATTTTGTATGCAAGAGATTTAGCTGAATCTTGTTCTGTGAAAGCCTTTTAATTTACTGATATGTTTCATGACTACTGCTGCTAGCTCTTCAGGCCAGGTTCATGCTTGGATCTCACTCCACTAAAGTGTATGACTTTCAAACAATACAGACAGACACATGATAAGCCAAACCATTCCTGCAAACACAGCCGCGCCTCATGAAAATGTAACAAGGCTTACAAGAAGCAGATTTAGGTAGGTGCTGTTTTTGTTTGAAGAACCGCAATTATATTGTAACTTCCCCCAGCTGCAACTGTGTCATAGTCATATGGATACCAAATAATTTTATTCCCATAATTTTACTGGCTTGGATACCTAAATATGTTTATGATGCTTGGAGCCTCAGAAAAGAAGTATGCATACTTCAAAAACTGCAAAAGGTTTTTCACTGCCTGCCTCTTGCTGAACTCAGAGTTACACCCTGGCATTGTTCTGATCCAAGCATCTTTGCTTGGGGAACTGAGTGCTGACTGGTTTGTTTTCAATGTCAAGAGGTTATATCAAAAAACAATTTGCAAGAAAATGTGTTGCAAGAGAGGGACCTAAGCTGTGTCCTTCTATAATATTTCTTGAAAATAATGACCTTGTCTTGTATCAGTGAAAAAAGTAAATTGCTTGGAAGGGAAAAAACATCAAATCATTCCAAAACTGCTAAAAATCATTTTAAAAACCATGATTTAGTTTGGAATTATGATTGTAGTCTGTTGAATAGTATTTACCATGGCATTTCATACCCATGGTATTTTATACCTTCTGACTATCAATTTTAGTATTATTAGACATTTGTGTGATCACTTGCTTATTTAAATGAAGTCTGGGTACTGCCTAACTGTCAGTTATATGAATAAATTACATGTCATTCTACTGTAACGTATAGTGGATTTCATTTTAATATTTTTGTGCTTGTACAGCTTCTGAATATGCAAATATGTGAGTGGGTAGAAAGTCAAAGACAGACGACCTAGAGCTGAATATAAATCATGCCATCATTCAGAGTAACCAGGTGTAAATTAAAGTGTGTCATGTCTGACAGACTTCTTTTATTTAATGTTGAGGCCTGATGGTGCTTTAATTGAAAGAGTAAGATCCAGCTTCTTCTTTGTAACTTCCTATAAAGCCTGGTTTATCTACAGCTAGACAATGATAAAGGCAACATTAAGCTGCCTTTTGTTTCCTTGTCCCTTCTAGCTCCTCGGGGACTGTGCTATACTTTCTCTCTCAGCTGCGTACCAGGTGGCAGCATTTTGCATTGCAACTATTACGGCCCTGTGCCCTTCGACAGAATGGAGAAGGGAAGGAGTTGATGAACGCGTGATGTGTATCGTGAGGAATGGCAAGAATACAGATTCCTCTCCAGGGTGAGGATGTGTGAACCTGCTAAGTGGCCCGTCCCAGGAGCCGTGAGTGTGCGCTGCAGCTGCAGCTGCTGAGCGTGCAGACAGCTCTCCACTTCGGTACAGCCTTTGTCAGCCACGTGTGCGTCCCGTCTCCTGCTCCCCACCAGGGCCCCGTGTCACTGCCGCGGCTTGAGAGTATGTGGCATTTACACCAGCTCATGTCTCTTCCGCTCAGGTAGACACAGTTGATGGTAACAAAGCCGGGAGTTTTCCCTCCCAGCTCCTTGCATCTCTCTCTGTTGTACCCTAACATGGCTGCACAATTTTAGGATGAGCAAACTGCCAGCTCCTTCCCGTTCTGAGTATCATTAGACTTCTCGTTCACACCTCTTTGTGAAAGATGCGTTCTACCCAGTAACCGGAAGAGGGGTGAGAAAAACAAGAGAAGAAGGTTTCAAAAGCATAAAAAAGTGTGTGATGTGTATGCGTTTTCCCCTTGAGCATTCTTAGCTTGCTTATCCTTATTCCACCGAACAAGGGTTGACCACTTAAAATGTAAATTATGTAGCAAGCCTCTCACAAGTTTTCCAAAACACTGCTTGCTATGATAAACACATTCCGGTTTGTACCACAGAAAGAAAACTCTTTGAAGCACCATTTTTGAAAATTATGACTTCCATTTGACTTTCCTTATCACAGTTCTTATTATTGTAACTGAAAAAATAGTTTTTGCCTGATAACCCACCATCTTTTCCACTTGAAACAAAACTTAAATACATACCTATCCCAAAATGTAGGATGACCTTACAATATATCTTCCAAAGCTCACGACACTTTTGAGAGAAAAAGAGGATGCTGTTAATAATTTCTTCAGGACAACGGCGTGAACTGGGACAGTATAAGAAAACCGAGATGTCAGACATTAAGTAGGGACTGTCTACCCACAACTCAGACAAATGCAACCTGATTTTTTCACGTTCAAGCCTCTGGCAGAAGTATATCGCAGGGATACAGACATTTTGATATCTAGGATATTACCCAACATCTTAAAGACCCATCAAGAGGCACAAGCTTCATCTGAGAAGCTCACATGAACAGGCTAGGCTTACTTATAGAAAGCAGTAGGGAAACAAAACCCAGCAATCAAACTCCATGGCCCTAAATTAGCTTGATCTGTAAACAGATGGGGCCAGATCCAAACCGAAGAAATATCAGGAGCAGACCAAAGTTGGTAAAGTGTGGGGATCAGGCATGAGAAATAGAAGGAAAAGGGGATAGGAAAAAAAAAGTGTCAGCTAGGTCCATAGCCATACCTAGGAAACTTTGAGCCACGGTGACCTACTCTATCAAAGCAATGCTTCTAACTCTTCAGGGAGCTTGAAGTAACTGCTCTAATCTGGAAACAAAATGGCAGAAAAGCAGAATCAAGTATAACATCAAGTCCTAGAATGACAGAGATTCTAGTATGGTTTCCATTTCAAGAGTGAACATTTAGTGAGTGCTGATGCTATGTGTCAGGACCATGCTAGCCTTTATTTGCATTAGTTCATCTCCTCAACAACATACAAAGTGAAATTGCTTCCTTCTTTTTCTAGACAAACAGGCTTAGAGAATCAAATATATTGCCACAGGTCTCAAGAAAACAAAATATCACCTCACACAGCAAAATGTTGGTGAAGATGTGGAGAAAAGGGAACCCAGGTGCACCGTGGGTGGGAATGCAAACTGGGGCAGCCATTCTGGAAAACGGTGTGGAGGATCCTCAAAAAATTAAAAATAGAACTACTCTATGATCCAGCAATTCCATTTCTGGGTATTTATTCAAAGGAAATGAAAGCACTAACTCAAAAAGATATCCGCAAACCCAGGTTCACTAGAGCATTACTTAAAATAGCCAAGACATGAAAACAAGTGTCCATCAAATGATGGAAATATATATATATATATGCCATGTTTTCTTTATTCATATATTTTACACACACACACACACACACACACAATGGAATATTATTCAGCCAAAAAAAGAAGGAAATTCTGACATTTGTGACAACATGGATGGAACCTGAGGGCATTATGCTAAGTGAAATAAGTCAGACAGAAAGGCAAATACCTTATGATCTCACTTATATGTGGCATCTAAAAAAAAGCCTGAACTCACAGATACATATTGTGGTTGCCAGAGCAGGTGGTAGGGTAAAGGTGGTCAAGAGGTACAAAAAAGAAGTAGTAGTAAGTGGCACAGCTAGATCTTGAACCCAGGGCCTTAAGCCCTGACTTGTAATCATGCTGTCTCCCTAATGAATTATTCTCTATTGTCCAGGGTAGATTATAAACTTAAGTACAAAACCTTAAGTGATAATATATATGTAAAAACAGTTCTTGCTCAGGTGTCTTTAGGATGAATTCATACACTGCAGATCACAAATGCTGCCATACTGTCCCTCAGGACTTCCCCCATTTTTTGTTAGAATTTCTTTCTTGATACACAAAGAACAATTTTTACAGGACTGTGAGCTCTCTCTCCTGATCTCTGTCTCCCGCAAGAGTCATGGAAGCCTGCACACCACCTCCAGGCTCCCCTGTGGGAAACTTCAGTGAGGTTCCTCTATGGGCCTGCAGAGCCTGGGCTGCAATATGCTCACACAGATGCTTAGGAGAGAGGTCAGGGCAGGATTACAAAAAATAAAATGTTGACTTAGTACCTTCCTATTATTTTATCTATTGTGTACCTGGCACTGTGGTCTGCTTTGCAAAAGAGGCCATAGATGAAAAGTTTATGGTGGGGCACCTGGCTGGCTCGGTTGGGTAAGCGTCCAACTCTTGGTTTCTGCTCAGGTCATGATCTCAGGGTCATGATATCAAGCCCCGCATCAGGCTCTGCACTCAGCACAGAGTCCGCTTGAGATTCTCTTTTCCTTTGCTATTCCCCCTACTCATGTAAGTGGGCGCTCTCTCTCAAATAAATAAATAAATAAATAAATAAATAAATAAATAAATGTATGTGGCAAAGAGAAGAGAAAGCTGAGCTTCAGCTTGTAAAGCAACAGTTGAACCCCCTCCATCATGCAAGGTGGGTTAAGGGAGGTCCCTTTAAGACTGCCACCTACCGGGGCGCCTGGGTGGCTCAGTTGGTTAAGCGACTGCCTTCGGCTCAGGTCATGATCCTGCAGTCCCGGGATCGAGTCCCGCATCGGGCTCCCTGCTCGGCAGGGAGCCTGCTTCTCCCTCTGACCCTCCCCCCTCTCATGTGCTCCCTGTCTCTTTCATTCTCTCTGTCTCAAATAAATAAATAAATAAATCTTTAAAAAAAAAAAAAAAAAAAGACTGCCACCTACCATAACAATAGCTCAGGTGCATTCCACAGCACTGAAAGGCATGGGTCTTGGAATAGACTTTATTAGGAACATTTCTAAATTAAGGATTAGCAAGAGGAAACAAAATATGAGTGCATCCCATGTCCCAAGGCATACCAGGGCCTGTGTGCTATGCTAGACACACTGAAGGTCTGAGTGTGGGTGAAGAATCCCAATCCCCCTGTTGTCCTCCCTTCTTTTAGGGCAAGCCTGAAAGCAACCATGGGGGAGGTGGTGATCTGACAGGATCACTTTGTACCCAGGCAGTCTGGATCTGGCTGCCAGCTGCCCTGCCCCTGCAGACCATGGGATGTGCGGGACATTGCCCTGGGGAAGGAAATCTCTGGTCCTAATGAAAGGTAAGCAGATGCAACCCCTTCTGAAGGGAGAGAAAAGAGCCTTCAGGCACAGATAGTTTGGTCAAGCAGCCCAAAGAGAGTTTGTGAGTTCTTTTTTGACAAATCTCATCATATCACACCCACATACACTTACATTTTAGATATATTAGCTTTTCTATGCCAAGTGTGTAGCAATTAACAAGGAATAGGGACATCAGCAGCCTCTCAGTATATGATACTAAAAGTTAAATAATCTGCTTTTGGTCAAGTTTTTACTATTTCTGCAAAGTACAGCAGGGAAAACTGGCAGTCAGAAGACCCACATTGCAGCGTACCTGCTTCTAGCCTTCTTTAGGCCAGTGACTTGCCCTCTGTGACTTCGCTTTTATCATCCATAACAGAAAAATAATAATGACAGCTCCTCTTCAGACGATTATTGTTAAGAGTAAAATCAAATAAGCTCTCATTAATTAAAGTGCTTGGGAAACTCCAAAGTACTGGTTAAACACATGTTTAATTACGGTTGGTATTTTATCCATTTGGTTTTTGGCTATGAGCTTACTCTAACAGAAAAGCTATAAAATTTGTCCTTGTAGCCAGTGTCCCCCATTAATTCAATTCAGCAAATATTTATTGAGCACTCACTTTGTGCCAGGCATCATGCCAAGACTGGGGATAAAATGGGAAACAAGACAGTGTCCTTGGTCTCACAGACCTCATCGTCTAAACAGCACCTTCTTGTCAGGTGTGGTCCTTGGGCCAGCGGCAGGAGCACTGCTAGAAATGAATCGTCACAGAGCGCCTGGGTGGCTCAGTCGGTGAAGCGTCGGCCTTCGGCTCAG